GTGTGTGCGCAGAAACGATTGACACAATTTACAAGTGTCAGTGCTTTTACACATACAAAAAAATTGAGGCTTCAGGCAGTCTGTTTGGAAAAAGATGACTGAGATGCTTTGTTCCAAGGAAACCATTTCCTTAGTTAAATTTGCATTTTTTTAATACCTTAATGTTGTCACTAGAATTCTGGGGAACTTAAGCAGATAAACATTTATGAGGAGGGACCTACTCAAATTGTGGTTGTGGATTTTGCAGAAATTGTGATTTGGAACAACAGTGACCTGGTGGGAACTCACATGACTGGAGCACTGTCATGGATGGGTACAAACTGTTCAGGAAGGACAGCCTGGGAAGAGGAGGAGGAGTTTTAGTTCATGTAAAAGAGCCATTTCACTGCTCAGACTCCAGTATGAAACTGGAGATAGGCCTGTTGAGAGTCTCTGTGTTACGGTTAGAGGAAAGTGCAACAAGGGTGGTGTTGTGCTGGGTGTCTTCTATAGACCACCAGACCAAGAAGAAGTGGTGGATGAGGCTTTCTTCAGACAGCTAGTGGAAGTTTCTCAGTCACAAGCCCTGATTCTCATGGGGGAATTCAATCACCCTGACACCTGCTGGGAGGGCAGTACAGCAGTGTGCAGGCAATCCAGGAAGTTTTTGGAGACTGTTGGGGACAACTTCCTGCTGCAAGTGCTGGAGTGGCCAACTAGGGACCATGCTCTTCTTGACCTGCAGCTCACAAACAGGGAAAAATTGGTGGGGAATGTAGTAGTGGATGGCAACTTGGGCAGCAGTGACCACAAGATGATTGAGTTCAGGATCCTGAAGAAAGGAGTGCTGGAGAGCAGCAGAGTAAGGACCCTGGACTTCAGAAAAGCAGACTTCGACTCACTCAGGGGGCCTATGGGCAGGATGCCCTGGGAAGCCAGTCTGATAGGGAGAGGAGTCCAGGAAAGCTGGCTGTACTTTAAAGAAGCCTTACTGAGAGTGCAGGAACAAACCATCCCAAAGCACAGGAAGACTAACAAGTATCGTAGAAGACCAGCTTGGCTTAGCAGGGATCTCTTCAGTGAACTAAGTCACAGAAAGGAAGTTTCTAAGAAGTGGAAACTTGGACAAATAAATAGGGAGGGGTATAAGAGCATTGCTCGGGCATACAGGAATGAAGTCAGGAAGGCCAAAGTGCAATTGGAGTTGCAGCTAGCAAGGGGTGTGAGTAACAAGAAGGGGTTCTACAAGCATCTTGGTAGCAAGAGGAGGATCAGGGAAAGTGTTAGGTCCCTTACTGAATAGGGGAGGCAACCTGGTGACAGGATGCAGAAAAGCCTAAAGTACTCAGGGCTTTCTTTATCTCAGTCTTCACAGGCAATGTCAGCTCCCAGACTACTGGACCAGGCAGCACAGTTTGGGGAGGAGGTGAGCAGCCAACAGTGGTGAGAGAACAGGTTATGGCTATTAGAAAAGCTGGACATATGCAAGTCCATGGGGCCAAACGGGATGCACCCGAGGTTGCTGAGGGAGCTGTCTGAGGTTGCAGAGCCACTGGCCATAATCTTCGAAAACTCATGGTGGCCAGGGCAAGTCCCAGATGATTGGAAAAGGGCAAATATAGTGCCCATATTTAAGAAAGGGGGGAAAAAGGAGGATTTAGGGAACTACAGACCAGTCAGTCTCACCTCAGTCCCTGGAAAAATCATGGAGGAGATCCTCAAGGAATCCATTTCTTAGTACTTGGAGAAGAAGTTGTTTAGAAACAGTCAGCATGGTTCACGAAGGGCAAGTCATGGCTGACCAACCTAATTGTCTTGTATGATGAGATGACTGGTTCTGTGGATGTGGGGAGACCAGTGGATGTGGTATTCCTTGATTTTAGCAAAGCTTTTGAGACTGTCTCGCACGATGTTCTTGCATGCAAGAGTGGGAGTGTTACTTGCAGGTCAAGGGAAGTGATTACTCCCCTCTATTCAGCATTGGTGAGGCCGCATCTGGCGTACTGTGTTCAGTTTTGGACCCCCCAATGCAGAAAGCATGTGGACAGATTAGAGAGAGTCCAGTGGAGGGCAGCAAAAATGGTGATGGGGCTCAGGGGCATGACTTATGAGGAAAGATGGAGAGAACTGGACTTGTTTAGTCTAGAGAAGAGGAGACTGAGATGATGTGAACAGTTATACCAGAACAGGAGGTGCCTTGAGGCACAGGAGATCTCCGCTGTGGTTGGGCTCCCTCTTAGCTTGGGCACCAAGGAACTTCGAGCATGTCAATGGGGTGTTTCCCTTAGTTTCCCCTCTAAGCCTTGATCTTAAATAAAATGAGGGTCCTGGGATGGTATGAACAACCTGCGAGAACGCTAATCTTGTTGGTACTCTTGGGGCTCCCCTACACCCTGTCCATGTGCCAGCCAAGGTCTGGCTGATGCAAGTGTTCCTGCCCCCCAGGCTAACATGACCTGATGCCTTTTGACCTGCTCTGGGGTTTTGATGATGCCAGACCCATAAGCAATTCTGGGGCCTTGTAATTCACTTCTGATCGCATTCAATTCATCAAGCCTTACTCCAGGCACGCTGCGGGTTTTCAAAAATTAACACAGTACGTAATTAATTTGTTCTTGCATAAATAAAGTTCAAAATTAATTCACAGGCTCTTGTAGATAAATAAGGTTCATAATTAATTCACTGGCTCTCTTAAATAAAGTTCAAAATTTAATTCATGATGGGTAGCAATCAGGTCACAGCCCCCAGTTAATTCCTGGATGTTCAGCAGTCCCTTCTGCAAGTAATTCACCTGCTCGGATCAAACAGTCCATCCTTACTTGCTTCTGTATGTGGGGTTCCTTACCTACCTCAAATAAGTAGTCTGCAGCTTTTCAAATTAGCACCGACCATTTCTTTAAAGCATTATGCAATTTAAAGGACAGACGGCGTCTTTGCTGTGCCTGTGTGTCAGGCCACGGTCACTATCACACTCACATGCCCTCTTTTTTTCCAGCATCAGGGTTCTGGGGTCCATGAAGACTACTGTGGCCAACCCTGGATCACCGGGTGGCTGGATACCCCTCTGGGTTTCCAGACTGGGAAATCAACTCAATTTTCATAGATTCATAGATGTTAGGGTCGGAAGGGACCTCAATAGATCATCGAGTCTGACCCCCTGCATAGGCAGGAAAGA